GAATACTTACTTTTATGTTGAACGATAAAACGATATTTCATTTTATCATTTTATGTTAACTGTTATATTATGTTTCTTTTCTTTGGTTGTATATTTCCGAATTGCTAGATAGCTATTTTATTTGTGAGTTTATTGGGCATCGCATAGCCTGATGGTTAGGGCGCTCGACTCGCAATGTGCGGGTTGTAGGATATAAACATGTCCCCGAGCATACTCATCCTTGGAGCGTTATAGCGTGATGGACATTCGTTCTATTCCTTGGTAAAAAGCAGCTCAAGAGTTGGCAGTAGGAAGTGTTGAATAGCCGCCTTCTCCCCAATTTAACACTTCAAAATTAGGGACGTTAGGACAGATAGCCATCGAGTAGTTTTACGCGAAACTTCGCTAGTATATTTGTGGGGTTCTAGTTTGCTTGTCTACTTGTAAATTCTAATTTGTTTTCTATTTGCAAGTCTATAGTTTGATTTCTGTTTATCAGTTTTTAATTGGCTTATCTCGTTGTCAATTTGTAATTTAGTGTGTATTTGTGAATTTCTTATTTGCTTGCCTAATTCTAAATTTCTAGTTTGCTTGTGACGTTTTAGATTACATGTTTATTTATGATTCCCCCATTTACTTGTCTATTTGGAAATTTTCAGTTTTGTTGTCTATTTATTATAGTTTCTAGCTTGTTTATCTGTGAATATCTTCTATGTTTGTCAGACTGTGGAAAGCTTGTCTGTCTATTTATAAGTTTCTAATTTTACGTTTTTCAGGTGAGGATATCTAAGATTATTGAATTTTTTCCCTCACTAAGCTGTTTAAAGCTTATTTTATAACATTTTCTTAAATCGACAATAGGATATTAGAGATAAATCAATATTTATCCAAAAAATCAATATCCACTGGAATGGAGTTGGAATTTTAGTGGGTCCAGTGAGAGTGTTATTTTTCTCAGTCTAACGTGATTTTTCCTATTAGTTGATTTATTGTTATTTAAATAACCATTGATTTTGACCTGTCTCACATTTGTCAAGATAAAACGGTGGAGGTGAGGAGTTTTGTAGAAACTTAGGGTGGTTTATTTCTATTATAAGAAGATATTCTGCTTTTTATACCTTATAATATTAAATAAAAGGATGGAGGTTGGGAGTTTTACATTGTATAATTTAAGGGGGTGGTGGTAATTCTACGTTAAAGTTATACTTAAATATTAAGGGTAACTGATTTCCCAAGAACTGGCTGCAGACAGCGAAAGGCAGTAGGAGTTGAGACGTTGTGGGTTCAAGCACTGAACTCCCAACCCTTAACTGGTTCTCCTCAGCTGTTGGTGAGTTTTACATCGGCGTAGGGATCTTGGCTAATATATGGAATATCCCCAACGCGTTTGGGTAGTATGACCACAGACCTTATTCTTATGACTTAGTGATGGCAACATGGAATGGCAATGGAATAATTCTTTTGAATTTTACTCTCATAATAATTTTGTTTAACATATAAATTATTTTTAGAAGAACCAATCAATTACCTTAGCATTTGGTGTTTCACATAATTCATCTCAAAACTTTGCCATAGTCATTTCTTTAGAATAACTTCTACCTCATGGCATTTGATGCTTTTATTAATTCGCAGGTTGGGTGAAAGAACATTAATGAGAGAGTATTTCTATAATAATCCCTGCAGTACAACAAAACGTTTGTACGTAGTAACGTTGGTCTATAGTAAGTTGGTTACTTTGTGTAGTGGCAGAGCGCGGACCAGTGGTTAACGTGCCGAACAGTGACTTTGAGCATTCGTGGTTCGTATCCCGTAACGCTCAATAAACGTTTGTGCTGCACACTTTGGTGTCGTGGTTGCGTTATAAAAGTAATGGTCAAATCCCACCATTCGATTTGACAAGAGTTGAGGATGGGTGATGTCTATCCGCTGCCTTTCCTCTGGTCTGTCACTTCAAAATTATGGAAAGCTAGCGAAGATAGTCCTCATGTAGCTTTGTGTGAAATTCGACAAAAAGTAATCAAAAACACCTTAAACGCGAAAAAAAGATGCGGCCAAAAAAGGATTAAGCATCCGACTTAAAGGAATGAAATCAAAATTGGTGGTCAAACTGATTTATTTGTTTGGAATTGTGCACAAAGCTACACAACGGGCTATTCGTGCTCTGCCCACCACGGGTATCGAAACCCGGTTTCTAGCGTTGTAAGTCTGCAGACATACCGCTGTGCCACTGGGGGGCGGCCAAACTGGTAGCTACGCTACAGCATTGATAATAATTTTACAGCAAATTTTCATTCATTAGTTAGCTAGCCCGCGTATCTTGTTTCACCCACTATCATGCCCTAGTTGAACAAAAAACACGACCCTTTTTTTTTTCACACCTAAGGTGTTTTTGATTAGATGTTCCAGCCATATAACATGGGAGAGAACATGTTAGATGTAGCAAAAAATCTAGGTTCAATATTTTATGAATTTTCATTATGGGCAGAAATTCCAGAAAAAAAGAAGCTGGTAATATAAAGAAATGACTAAAAATCACATTTATAAATAGCAAACAATATATTAAAAAATAATAATGTAGGTAGCTCATGTGGCAATTTCTTAAACATATGTCATTGACTGTTATTATGAAACTTCAAAAATTAAATGGGCAAATTATTTTTCACATTGCCCATATCAAAAATGTAAGAAAAATCAATCCGAAATTTGTCTTTGTCATTCTAACTAAATTAAGTCTCTTGTAGTTGTGACGGATTTATTGTTCTATATATACTTTAATATCGATATTTTTTTAATTAAATTTATGTTTAGAAATATATATAACGTATACTGTTAAGTATGTAGTGCGAAATTCCGGCCTATTCTCTAAAGTTGTAGAAGATTCTCGAGTGTAAGAATCAACAATACATGTGTGTACGTAAACGCTAGTGTTAGCGTGTATTGTTACGTAAGCTGAAGCTTCGAGAAACTCTCCACACGCCTATAAATATAACCAACGCGACGCGCCAAAAAAAAAAACAAAAAAAAAACAGC